AAAGGCAAACATTTGACTTGCTGCTTTGATCGGAGAGGTTGCTTGGCCATGGGCTCTTGGAAAAGTGTCCAGTGTTGGACGCAGTGGTGGCTAATGCCGTCTGCTGTGGAGTTGGCCTTGACTCAAAGGAAACCAACGGGACAGAGGAAAACGGGTCCATGGGGATTTTTTGTAGCTGGTATCCTTCCAGAAGCAGCTCTCTGGGTCTTTTTACTGGAGCCGCTACATAGAGGCCAACCGTCAACCTTGCGGTAGCCCACCTGAGTGTGTAGCTAGTGTGCCGCGGAGCATCCTATTGAGCAGGCAGAGATGACTAAACGCTTGAGTAGCTCACTGAGGGAAGCCTGTTCTGCTCTGGAATCCATTATAGGATGCGAAATGCCTAGCGCATAACAGGCTTACAAATCCCACCTCAACCAGGCTTTTAAGAAATCACTGTAAGACCATCCGGATTTTCCAGACATCAGCCATCGGGAAAAGGCAAGAACATTTCATATATCCCAATCTCATGTCGGCCTCGCACTGAGGCTGGGACAGACTGGTGCAGTCAGCTAATTTCGCATACCAAATTAAGTGTGAGGGCCATGGTTTAAACTGGAGACTTCACCTTCCTCGAATATTATGTTCATATACTTGTGCTATGTTGTTTCCACAGCAGAGAAAGATGCCCTCCCACATGGCTGTCAGCATGGAAGCCCTTCCTAAGGTCGGAGACTCAATCCAGGGGATCCAGGCATCACCCTGACATGGGTTCAAACCACAGCGGACTGATGTATTCCCCCTTGGACAGTTGTTTCTGACTTGAAGGCTTATTTCCCAGTTTCCCAGTCACAGACCCCACGCCCATCCAGGACGGGCTCCCTTTACCTTGGACTCTTCCGGAGTTTCCTCTAGATTGCCTTGTTCATACCAGGGTGTGTTTTGCATTTTCTTTGTAAACTACAGTTTCGAATAAAGAAACACATTTCACATAAAACTGTCGAGTAAAAATATATGAAGAGAAAGATATTCGGTGCTGGGTGAGGACCGTGTGTATGGCCTTGTGAAGTGCTTTCAGGACACAGCTCTTGATAACTCCTTGATACTCGGTGGAAACACTCGTCTTTGGCCACAAAGCTAAAGTCAGTTAAAGCCAGGGATACTTCCTGGAGTTCCTAATTCATGCTGAGTTACTCAGGGTTTCGGGTGAAGGGTTCCCAAACAGGGTCATCAGGGAAGGCTCACTGCGTTCTACGGGGAGGTTGAGGTAAGGCCTAGCAAAAGGAAAGAAGGTCCGAGGGAATGGATCCTTTTAAAGCTCTCTGGTGGCGATGAAAGCAGTCTCTCACCACAAAGGAGACGATGCCGTTCATTCCTTCCATCGCGTGGGAATCTGTTTTTGTGTGATAGAATAAAAATCCACGGGGCTCCCAAACACTCTTCTATTCCTTCTGCCTCTCCCGGGCCCAGAGCCCCCAGGAGATCTGCATAACGAGTCTTAACCTTCAGAGTGTGGTGTAGGGACATGGGTAGCACCCGCTCCAATCTCTCTGACATGGATTCTTAGAGGATCACATGCCTCCCCTCGCCTCTGAGAAATAGAGCTGATAGCAGGGGACACAAGCACCATGCCCCACCTTGCTTCTCAGGTCTGCAATACTCTGGACCAGTGTTCCATTCTTCTTCTCCTGCAAAGAGAAAGAATCAGAGTATCCCAACCATTAGCATCCTCCTTGTGCAGTGACTGCGCTCCACCTCATGATAGTGATGCTTTTCTGCCGGTAACTCTCCTTCACTTGTGTGCGGTCAGGTGAGGTACTTGTGGTCCGATGTCAATATAGAAACATCAGCTTACCAGGGCTCGAGACGTCCACATGCTGGCTTTTCCAGTATTAAATAGTACCAAAGAAACCTTGTCTGACATTCAACCA